TTTGGCTAATGAAAGCAATTGCATAGATAAAAGAAACAATTATGGTTTTCTTTAAAAAAACGAAAGTTTCAAACAGTTTCAAGCTCACATGCCTGCAATTCATACACACACAAGTCAAACTGTCCTATGTGCATTAAAATGTTTGAGAAAAGGCAAATGCAAGCACAAGGCAGAGTTTTGTGTGTCGACTAGTTGTGTGTTGTTGTTTTTTAATTGCTTTCATCCATGGATTTTACCTTGGAGCTAGACATAGCTGTCAACTTACAGATTTGAAAATAAGGGACCAGCAGCCTCAAAAATAAGGGATCAGCAGCCAAAATAAGGGATTTTAGTCAACCAGCTCCTTTCCTTTCCCCCATAACAATCATTCGAAGGAGCCTCCAAAACAAATCCAAAAGCCCCCCCTCCCACGAGATCGCCGCCCGCCATTGTACTCAACCAGCTCCTTTCCTTTTCCCCCACCATGTGCCCCCGCTCCAGACAGACATTTTCCCCAGCAAGGGTGAGTGGGCCGTCGATGACGTATCCAATTCCAAACACAGGTATGTTCAACTTCTGAGCCCCTCTGAGCCAAAGGCAGAAAGCCCAACCAGCAGCCAAACGAAGCCTCAAGAGGTGGTTCCCACAGTGCAGCAACCCGGCAAAGGGGATGCAGCAAGGAAAACCACTGTCACCTCTCTGCTGGGAAGCGCTGAGCAAAGGCAACTCCCCAGGCAATGCAGCCGATTTGATCGGCACAAGGCATGCAAGCTCCACCCCTCAGTCGTTCTTAGACTCCTTATTGGGTGAGCATTGCAGCCAAGCAACACAGTTGGAGCCTCCCTCCTCACTGGCAGGCAGGGAGGGAGGGAGAGGAGCTGCTTACTTTGAAACCCAGGAAATTTAAGGGACATCATCAATCCAGGACAGCAGCGGGAAACAGCACTGGGATAAGGGAGTTTCCCGCCAAATAAGGGACAGTTGACAGCTATGGAGCTAGATAACTTTTCTCCATTTTTGCAACAGAAAATAAAATGTGAACTCGACTTTGCCACTATTCAAGAAGAGTTTGTTCCAGTAGAAATTAAAGAAAGGAAATTGTGTGACCTCAACTAATGACTTTAATTAGAGTGTTTTCCACATATTCCAGCATATCTATTTTTCTTGTATGGTATGGAAATGTGTTGTGTGCACAATTTTTTCAATCATCACAGAAAAAATATGCAAGTAAGTTTTGCATATAGCGGTTAATCTCATATCAGTGATCTTTCTTTGTGTATCATGGTATTAGGACCCTTTCCTAAAAGGAAGGATAGAAATACTTGGTCAGATCATCTTATCTTGTTCGGAGAGGATAAAATCAGAACTGGGTGAGCTGCACTTTCAAAGCCCGGGTGTGCTGGTGTGTGGGGGAGGTTACCGTGGGGTAAGGTCCAGGACCTGAGTCGAGGCTCCACGGGCGAAGCGGGGTCCAAAGCAAGGAGCCGGACAAGGACAGGAACTCTGGGGGAACAGGACTGGCTGCTGGCCGAAACAGCTCTTCAACGACGTTGCTCCTGCAACCTGGGACCTGGCTGACTGGCCTTTATCTTCTCTGAGGCCAGGGGCAGTCCTGGCCCCCAGGAGACCCGCCTCTCCTGGCCTTAAGGTGAGCACTCCTCCTGGGAGAAACCAGTTCCCTCCGCCTCTCTGCCCTGAGCCTCTGCAGCTCAGGAGAGGCTGGAGGCTTACTGGACCCAGGGGGAGACTCACCTTCCCCTGACAGGGCTGGGAGAGGCGCACCTGTAGGCACTGTGTCCTCAATCGCCTCCGGAGCCAGAGTGGATTCACCTGATGCCTGCTCCTGAGGATCCGGCACAGGTGCAGGCGCTTCAGAATCAAGGCCCTGCCCCAGTTCAGCCAGCCCTGGAGGCGGAGACTCCCGTGCAGGCTGGGATTCCTCCGGTTCAGCCTCTGAATCGGATTCCCTGCCATCACACCGGGCATGTCTTCCACACCACCAACAGTTTTGAGGGTTGTTGTTTTCCCTTCAGCCTCTCCTCCATAAAGTTTTCTCTCTGGGTTGAGACAGTGTTCATGGAATGAGGGAGTTTTAGAGCCTGTGGTTCAAGTTCTCCCTTGATCTGCCCCTGGAACATCCTTTTCTTTTCCCTTTGCTAGTCAGAGAGCCAGGGGGGTTCAGTGGCTAGAATGAGAGGGACTTCTCCATCCACAGATGAAGGGTGAGATCCACTCTATCCTACAGACCCTGTCGCAAGGACCAAGTCATCTTTAGGGGGTGTGATATGGTATCACAAGGGTGCCATCAACAGCTCACTGGGCTAACTGCCTAGTGAAATCAGAGACGCGGAGAGTTTTGTTCAGTTCTTCTATTTAAATCAACAGAAATATACGGAGACCATGAAATGTGCTGTTGCTGAGAGTGCCTGCTCCTCCCTCCTGGCAGTTACTTCCTAGCTCTGAGTCCCACCCTGCTGTCTCCGTTGGCTGCTAAGGGATTCTCTCTGTCTCTGCTTGGATTTCTGCTTTGTGACATGGGAAGGAGGGGACTCTAGCATACTCTCCAGAGACGTTGTGTCACTTGGCTGCTGTACTGTTTCTAACACATCTGACTGCTGCCTCTGTACAGAGCTACTGCACCTGATATCTCGCTCCTGTTCATCACCCATTATTTCACAGCTCATTTCTTCTTATGGAATGTGCCCTGTCTCATACCACCACGATGCTGGGTCCATACTCCCTTCCTCTTTTCCCTCTCTGGAAGCCTCTTGGATTGGCGATCTCCACTCCTTCTCATCTGCCCAGTCCCTGACACATGGCATGATTTAATTATCATTTGAAATATCTCTATCCACAACTTTAATTGTCATTTGAAATGTCTCTGATCCATGCTCCAGATGAGGGAGGTCAAGCAGCAGTTTGGATTGAGTGGAGGCATTTCTGCACTCACTACAGATATCACCATATATTCCAAGACAGAGTTCAGCAGATATATTACAAGGCAGAATTCAACAGAACTCTACTTAATATAAGGAATCTACCACAATGCGCTTTCTATTTAAATTTTCTCATTTGTAAAAGCCAGTTCCCTATAATATTCCAGTTTCTTCTATACCATTGAGCTCAAAGCAAAATATGCAGGAAGAATTCCTACGGAGAAGAGTAAACAAGATGCTTTGGGCTTCGCCTACCATAGTATGCCATTAAAGTTTCAGTGCACTCTGACAGTTTTTTGTTTTATTTATATAAAATATTTCTGTGGTTTAAATTATTTAAAGCAATAGAAACAAATACAGAGGTATTTCCTTTTGACACTTGGAGACAGAGAAACAGTCTTTAGATTTAAAGGCTATACTGGGTGCGTTTTCTATTGTAATTCCCTAGCTTTTTAATACAGTCCATAGGGGGAAACGAGGGAGAACACAAACTTCTCAGATTTATTGTAATTACTGAACTTTTCCTGTGCTATAGTTATAAGAAGTGCAAATAATATTTAAAAGATGCACTGAGCCAGATCCCTTAAGCAAATATTTTCACACAGTCTTCTATAAAAAGCTTCTTGATGGCAAAATTTACAGAATATATTTCTACATGACATCATTGTTGAGTGAAGAGAAATCCCCTTGTCTAAACACCCACACTGACAAGTTCCCCAAGAATGGTTGGTGTACATTTAAAAACAAACTTAAAATGGGGGGAAATAACCACAAATAACTGGCAGTGGTGAGCTTGATAAAGCAGAAAACATTGTTTTCTTCAGCTCACTCTTGTAACTATTTGGAACCGAGGAACCGGCACTAGAAACACGTTCCCCGGAGGGATCACCCTCGGGGTCTGCCTCAGACCGTTCCTATTGGTGGGACAATCAGCCAGAGGAGCAGTGGCGCAGGAAGTGGTTGGGGGGTCCTTGGCTGGGAACGTCCCCGGAGGAGACCGGGGAGAGACGGACATGGACGTGGTGGGGGAGTACCTTGGGGTCGAGCACGGCGGCAAGAGAGGGCAGCAGAGGACAGTGAGGTCGGCGAGAGCACGGAGGACGAGCCGGACGTATCCGGCTGGATGCACGCCACGGGGGGCGAACTGTATCCGGCACTCACCCCCACAACGACGGAGCACCAAGTACCAACACCTGAAGGAGGAGGGGGAAGGGGGGCTTCGAGGGGGATGGATGTCAGGGGTTCAGGAGCAGAGGCACAGGAAGGGAGGAAATAGAGAGCGAGGGGAGGAGTCCGAAGGAAATGTTAGCGATGACAGCGGTCCGAGGTCTCTGAGTCTTTCCAGCGAATCGGAAGATTCACAGAAAGGGGCTCCCTTGGTCAGAGCACGGGGGTGCCGAGGGGACACCCCAGGAAGAAGGGGCCAGAGGGGACTCAGAGAGCAGCAGTTGGAAATCAGGACCAGCGTCCACACCAGAGTGCAGTAGGGGGGAGGAGTCCCAGGCATCGGGATCAGGCGGCGCACTGCCAGTGGGAGGACATGAGTCAGGATTGGCCACGCCTCCATCGGGGAGCGAGGAACCGGTCGAGAGGAAGGTTGAAGGCTGGGCGCGCGCGCCAAGTTCAAATGTACAGGAGGGCGGCGCAGTTGGCAGCCCGGATAGGGAGCCAGGTCCCAAAGCCCGCCGAAAGAGGGGAGGAGTCAGGGGGTCAGCGTCAGAAGAATCCAGGAAGGAAGGGACCCGGGGGTAGCAGGACCCAGAGGAGAAAGGAGAGACGTAAGAGGTGGAGTACGGCTAGAATCGTACACTGGTGTACAGCGGGCGGAGACTCAGATGGAGCTTCGCCGATCTAACCCCTAACCTTCTGAATTATATATCTGGACACAAAAACGCATATATTTCCTTGACAGCTGTGCAGTGAAGAGTCTCACATTAAGAGTCAAACAGCTACTGTGCTGCCATCTCCCTTTTAACCTAAGAAGGTTTTCCCCTTACTTACAACCCCTCTCACAGAGAATCATAGAATTGTAGAATTGGAAAGCACTGTGAGGGTCATCTAATCCAACCTCCTACATTTCAGAAATCATTTCCCCAATATGGTTCTGAAACTCATAACCCTGAGATTAAGAGTCTCATGCTCTACCGACTAAGCCAACATATGAGCCACTCTGAACATGAGATTTCTCATTTCAACTCCTCTGTAAGCCCTTTGCTCTGACCACACTCACAGTCTATCCGTGTGGCATTTCTATAGATCAGCTGACCTTGTAACTGAATCATGAGTGGTTCGCTTAAGACCAGCTGACTCCCTGAACAGGACAATTTCCCCTCTTCCACTCCTTCACCCTGTATACACTGCCAGGATCTCTTTGGAGTGGCTCTGCTGTTTAAAAAAGAAAAGGGGAAAGAGCTGTGTATAAAGTGGCGCGAGGGCCTAGTTTTATGCTGTACCATGTTCCCGTCCCCCCCTTAACCAAATTCAGTTCCCTCCCTGGGCTGCGATACAGAAAGCAAGACAAGGAGGTAGAAAAGTGTAGTTTAAAGATGGTGTGGGGAATGTCTTTGATATCAGCACTGGAATTGCCTGTTTAAGTACAGTACTTTGCACTTTGCCTCCTCTTTTCTATAATTAGTATTAATGCATGCACACACATGCCCCGGGCACTATCAAAATTGCACACAAGTCCAGTAATAAATAAAAATGTGGGGTGCTTAGTGCTCTGAGTACGGAAGGGGGGTACATGTGTGTGCACTGAGGTTCTGTTTTGCTCAACAAATCAGAAGCATCCTCTCTCTTCAATACAGGGAACCTGTTGCTAATAGGAGTGTGGATTTTTAACAATCAGTTTTTATGGGGCTTTTCAACTTCCTTTGTCTCTCTGCAACAGGAAGCCTCAGTGCTTGCTTGTAAAACTTGTTCAAACATGTCCTGCAGAGAGTCATAGCAAGGATTTCAAATTAAAAATGTAGCCTGGAATGGAGGGTTCTCACCTCAGCAGGAAGTTCCCATGCTTTGGAACAAGAAATTCTAGCTGAAAGGAAGATTGGTATCCCTCCATTCCAAGACTGCTTTCACTAGGGAGGCACAATATAACAGCAGCAGCATCAACAACAACAACAGATTTTTAAAATCCCCCCTCTTCTCAACAAATGAATTTCTCACTCCTTAGTTATTTTATTTTAATGCATGATTTGTGTTATTTTGCCATGTCAGGATTCTTCAATTGTTGTAACTATTGGGAGAATTCTGAACACAAGCAAAGTGTGTTGAATCCTTAAATGGGTGGTTTTGGTGCTTTCAGTGGTTTAGTGGTTTTAGAACTTTTACTCCTAGCTGAGTAGGGACCCACAATGTTGTTGTTGAGAGCCAGTATGGTGTAGTGGTTAAGAGCGGTAGTCTCGTAATCTGGGGAACCGGGTTCGCGTCTCCGCTCCTCCACATGCAGCTGCTGGGTGACCTTGGGCCAGTCACACTTCTCTGAAGTCTCTCAGCCCCACTCACCTCACAGAGTGTTTGTTGTGGGGGAGGAAGGGAAAGGAGAATGTTAGCCGCTTTGAGACTCATTAAAGGGAGTGAAAGGCGGGATATCAAATCCAAATTCTTCTTCTTCTTCTTGTTACACTTAAACATTTTAATTCAATAGAAATAATTTTAGCTTGCAGAAAACATATCTACACTGCTAATGCAATCTTGCTTTTTCCAGTTGGAGTAAGAACAGTTTTGCTATAAAGATTGAATTCCAATAGCTATGCTCAATGTATTTAAATTGGCATATTAACAGTGTCACTTGTTTAAAATCTTAGATCAATGCCCAGCTCTGCTGGCACAATTAACTCAGCCCAACACAAGAATTAGTGCTGTTTGGAGTAGTTGCCCCCCCCCCCCGGTGTTAAATGTGTCCATCCATTAATGGGAAAAGAAATTGCATTCAAAAATTGACAAAGGTGAGGTGCAGGATTTTCACTGTGCTGTGCTGTGAGAGGTGTACTTTCTCTCATTCTGCAAGTAACCTCTCTAGGAGGTCTGAATGGGTGCAGGGCAGCCATGACTGGACTTCCCTGCAATGGCAGGAAATTGGGGAGGCTGTCAGCCATGCTCCTCACAGCATTTCCTTTTTTAAAAAGTAAATAAATCAGTGCAAATAAATTCTTTTCTAAAGAAAGGACATCATTTAAAATTAAAGTCAGTGGGCCTGCTGATCTCTGATGCTTAATTTCCATCCTCCTTGACCTTCCTGGCTTCAGTTAAAAGATACGGCAGCTCAGTCCCAGACCCACTGAACCACCCTGGAATAAAGGAGAAAAACAGCAGCTTCTTTTACAAGGGAAGAAAACTTGAGAATTTGGAAAACAGTTTTCTGTACAACACTTGCATGAGCTATCCTATAGGAGAATAGAATTGGCTGGAGCTCTATTGAAAGCTACATCTTGATAGCGGCTGCACAGCAAAGATTCCAGGGCCTTTGCAAAAGCCTGCATTCCATACATTTTAGGACAGTGCATTTTGTTTTTTCAGTCAGTATGGTTTCTCAAAATCCTTGTACTGGCTCATCTGGCAGCAGAGAATATTCTCTGCCTTCAAGAAGCTTGACCCCTATGTCATGCCTTATAATATCTGGGTAGAAAGACTGAAGCTAAATTGAGATTACTGTGCAAAGTCTCAAACCCAAAGCTTCTAGAGGCGTAGAACTCAAAGTCAAATATTATTTGAGACCAAATCCTTTGTTATTTCTTTGGTGCTGTAACTAGATCAGTCTTACTTGACCCTTGCTCCCAATCTGAATGCTTTTCTTTTTGTTTTGGAGATTCGTATGTGCTCTGCTGCAAAACGTATTTTCTCAAACAAAACTGAAACCGAATAACATTTCATCTGTGACTCTGAACAAGAACTCAGCATCAAGTCTGAATTTTTCAGTGTGTTGTGATTCCCATATGCAAACAGTAAAACTGATCCTTTCCATCCAAGATGCAGGCTAACCATATAAATGACATTAGATTTTCTATTCACCCTTCTCATGCAGTGCCTGTTCCAGTAAAAGACTCAAAGAATTGCCCACCAGCAAATGGATAGGTCGCTTTGGGGCTATGCATAGATAAAATGGAGTCGCCATAGATGGGAAAACTGGGACACGAGGGGTTGTTTAAATAGTAGTGTGTGCAAAGTCAGCAGAAATTCATAGAGCAGTGTGCGGATTTCTGGATCCCATTGCAAAGATACTACACAGTTACAGATTTAATTAATTCATCTGGGAAGAGCTATCCAGAAGCAGACTGAAGAAATTTCAAATACACACATACACATAGACACCGAGTAAGTGAGATTAGAGTGAAATAATGAAGTTATGTGCAGCCTCGTCTTGCAAAATGGATTTAAAGGGATATTTTGAGGCACTGTTAATAAGATTATTTGATGTAAGGCTATCTGGCAGTATTATAATCTCTTATGAGATGGTCCTGAGATAATCTCATTAAAGTTAATTAATGACAGACATTTGTATTTTCGACAACAGAGGCCTAGCAGACAGTCAACTCAGAGAAGCAAATAATAATTGGCAAAGGCTGCATTGGTGAGAATAAAGAATAGCAAGGAAAGAAAAGAGTGTGATGGATGCAGAGCTGCCGTGGCAGTGTTGGCTGCCAGCTACTGGAGAGATATTTGTAGAAGATGCATTAAACTATTCACACATTTCCCCACACAAGCTAAATGTATGCCTTTTAATAGTTTAGTCAAGTGCAAAGGAATAACAAAGATTATGGGGAAATAAAATGGCTAGCTGAATCTATATAACAAATTAAAAGTCAGCATTGTGTTTTTTAAAAGCCCTCCCTCCCCCCATGGGACTATAAATAATGCCACCACCAAACTAAAAATGTGGCATTTATTCCCTGAGAATCAGGATTCCAACGCTTATTTCATTTTAAGAATTATTAACAGTTATTAACTATGACAGAATTCACATTGTATATATCTGTAAAATGCCCATGAAAGAATAACTAAAAGTCATCCTCATTGGCTTCCTGGGCATCTTTTGTAATGTAATAAATAGCTGAGGTGAAGCACAAGCTTAGGCCCCGACTTCTACATGTAGCAATATTACTACAGTTGAATATTGCCAGTAGGCATTTCACAATATTTAATTCACTGGGTTATATATGATTTGTCCGGTTCCTCAGAGACTAGCTATCCTGGGAGTAGAAGCACTACATTTGTTACTTTGGAAGCAGGAATGGAGAGCCCTCCCAGGGCCACATTCTCATAGGCAGCTTTCCAGGGGCCATATGTCCATTTTGAGTGTGGCAGGGTCAAAGGGGAAATGAGATGGAGCAGTGGATGGGACTCTTGGTACTGTATAGTACACTGCATCCCAGCCATGAGAAGTCAGAGGCTTCTACACAAACACATCTTGCCATCCAAGGAAGCAAGGATCATTACCACAGCTGAAGGGCACTTTCTAACCAGATGAAAGAACTCAAGGAGGACATAGAATAGGGGCTTCTGGGGAAAGGAGGTGTGGAATAAATCCCAAGGACCATATAAAGATGTTTGGAAATCCACTTGAAAACACGGAGTAGACCTGCTATAAAGTCAAATATCCCTATCCAGGAAGCATCATGGTTTCTTTATGAAGTCAGGCTGGGAAGGTTGTTTTGTACTTTCATTCATAGGTTGCACGGCAGCAAGCAGTCCATTCACAGAAGCCTGTTTTGGCAGGTGGGTCTTCAGACGAATATGGAAATCTGTCTTGTACCAAGTCAGTCCTTGGGTCTGCCTGGCTCAGTATTATCTACAGTGACTGGCTGTGGTTCTTCAGGATTACGGATAGGAGTCTATCACAGTCTGGAAATTCTATCACAGAGATAGAAACTGGATCCTTCTGCATCCAACGCACATATGCAACAACTATGCTAGACCACTGATACCATTCTTAAATCTGTAGGGATGACATATTTTAAATGTACCTTTACTTCTTCATTTATATGTTGGGAATAATACTGGCTATCTACTGGTATGGGAAAGACTACAGTGGTGAGGAAGCTTTAGCCACCCAGATGTTGTTTTCTTCCCATATGTTGTTGAACTCCCACCATCCCAGCCAACATAAACAATGGTCCAGGATGATGGAAGTTATAGTCCACAAAATCTGGAGGTCATCCCATTGG